AAACATGGCAGTGGCTTCAGCCCCATCTCAGAGAAGCTTTCTTCTTCTTTGTCATCTTTGGCAGTTTCCAAGATGATGAGGATACAGAAGGCTTGGCTGAGGCCAAGGAGCTTTGTGTCAAAATGAAAGGTATCAAAGAATCTATGGACACCAGGAGGATCCTCGTGTGATGTAGAACTTCTCTGACACTGCTTCCAACTCTACAGGCATGTGACTATAAACAGCTAGAGAGTAACCTGAATATCAGTTCAATTCCTGGTCAGATATCAAACTGACCAAGATGTTGCTGTTGACTACTCTGCAGGTAGGTACATTGAAATGCTTTGCAAAAATAAGTGTCCTGTGTCCATTTAGCTCTGGCCTTGGAAGATGAACCAGAACTTCCTCCCAGCATCATAGAAGAGACTGTTTAGTTTGATGCTAAGCTGTGAAAATGAGTATATTCCTTCCTGGGTGGGCAGAGATCATGGATGACTTGCAAAGCCTTGCTACTCCAGCCAAGTGGAAGGCTGCCACTCAGCATGTTTCCTAGATGTTATATGTGGTAGGAGATTCTGTATGGAGCTGTGGCCTTGGATTTCCTGGTTCCCACCTGAAACTGTGTTTCAGCTCATGTCTTTCAGCCTGCAGGGTCTGATCAGGCCAGGGATTTGGAGTTACTACATGCCTGTACCACATCTGGATCTTCTCCCTACCCAACCAAGCAGGATCTTCACATCACTTTCTTCCTAGGTTTTGTAGGCCTTCTTTGACAGTGGACAGGGCAGAATTGCAATATTATACTTCTTGCTAAAAGAGTCATTTTTATTGGATAGGAAAAGGCCCAGGGACTGGCCTTTAGATCCAGCAGGAAGCTAGCTGTCAAGATTTCTAATAATAAAAGTCCAGGAAGTGCCATTTAACTTTTCATTCAGGAGTCATACAGACCTGATATGCAGCCCTGCTAAAAATCTGTGGAGGTGCCTTACAATATAGGCCATTAACCTTGTTTGGTGACTTGACTCAAGAAATTAGGGTTAGAAGAAAATCAAGGATGTTCCCTTACAAAGATTAGATTAAACCATTGAAAGATGGAAGCTCAAATAGCCAATAATTGACAAGACCATTGTACAACCAACCACTCAAGATCTCCCCCTGTGTACGGTTGATGTGCACTCTCTCTATACTCCCTGAAATTGGGAGATTGTGATAGAAAGATAGAAAGTTCAAAGCCAATCTTAGCTACATAATGAGATCCTGTCTCAAAAAGAAATTAAAAAATCTTTGCACCAACATTCTGCTTTGAAATCAGTCAAGTAATTAAAAATATTTTCTTGCTTAGCATTTACAGAGAGAGTACTTTTTCTTACCTGAGTATAATGTCCAACTGATGCATCAATTGGATTTGGGTCTGAGGCAAACTTGAAATCATTGACTTCATCATACCAGGTTTGGATTACATGAGACCATGAAGCTGGGTAATTTGCTCTGAAGATATTCTCACCACATCTTATATCTAAGGAAAAAGACAGACCATTCACAAAGAGAGCAATAAAGAAAAAAAAGAGGAACACACACACACACACACACATACACACACACACTCATGCTCGTGTGTGTGCTCAGAATCCCTGCTTTTTAAAGTCATTGCTCATAGTTCCTTTTTAATATTGCTTAAGAAGCATGATTCAGACCTGATGAACCTTTAGCTGCACAGTAGCCATAGGTATTCAATATGTGTGCCCTAAAAACAATGAGCACTAAGTAGATA